TAGAGGGTCCCTCCCTCTCGGAGCGGGGAGGGTTGTTGCACGCGATGAGACAACCCCCGAAAAGCCGGTAACAGCTCCAACTCTTGCAGCTTTTCATGTTTGCTGTCTGTTAAACTCGCAAAAATAATGCAGAGGCCATTTGTTGTCATTACATACTGCCTGCCTTTAGCAAGTCTGAAGGTTTTGGAATAATTAAAGAAACTTTTAGGAAACTCTTGTTTCTGGGACTTCCCTGGGTGCTTTATTGAACAAATACTCAAGCGGTGCAGGAGTCTGCAAGGTAGCGATGCTTCCTCCCCTGGTGATGCCTCTTCCTTGGCAGAATATAGCTGTGGCTTTTAGTCCTTACTAAGTCTTGAGTTTGCCTTACGTTGCCTTAAGTTTGCTGAAGATATTGAGAGTGTTTCGTAGCTCGTATGGAGAAACATTCTGCACACCCTTCTGAACCAGACATGCTCTGAAGGAAACCTGAACGCTTCCAGTACCTGCCTTTGAGTGGCATCTCTGCAAGTGGGAATTTAACCCCCTGGTAGAGAGTACATGGTGCATCCAGTTCTCATTTTCATAGTCTAGATATATTACTGTCATACAGCACTTAGGCAATTTCTCCTATTACTGCTGTTTTATTTTCTTCAAAAGACAATGCATTTTTTGTTCATGTTTCTGTGTATCAGATGTAAATGAAGCCCCACACGGAATTAAACAGAAGGATGTGCTTGGTTTTCCACGTGATCTGTCCTAAACTGAGAGGGCTTGAGTTGCTGGGGCCAGGCAGGTCTGGTCGTCCACAGAAGCAGAGCTCTTGACATCTCCAAGAACCTTAGATGAAGACCCCTAACGGGTTTAAGTATCTCCAGCACTAGGTTGAAGCAGCTGATGGAAGACATACTGAATCATAGGCTTGGACTTGGACTGTTACATCTAAATCGTGCTTTAGGTAGCTAACGTACAGGTCAAGGTCTTAGACTCTAAATTTACAGACTTTTTACATTAGCCAGGGATTCACCTTCCTTTGCTCCTCTCTAATATTTTTAGTGATATATAAAAAAGCAACACGTGTGGAGGAAGAGAGTCTCTACTGCAAGCTCTCCAGAAAAAGACACTGAGGTTTGTAGCTGAAATAACGACTCTATGGGGTTTTTCTGCTTGCTTGTTTTGGTTTATTCTTTTTCCTTTCTAGGCTAATTAAACATTCAGTGTTCATAACTGCGATTATTCTAGTTCTTTTCATTCATGGTGCCCCCTGGGGCACAACAAAGGACTTTCCAGAAGTTATGCAAAAAACCTAACATATTGATGCGTGTGATGGCATTCATAGAAATAGTGATTATTGTCTAATCTTCCATTTTTTGTTTCTTTAGACTATACACTTTAATAATGGAAACAGAATTAGCTGATGTTCGAGTATGTACATCATATATTTCTACCCACAGACTAGTGGTCTGAAAGGTATAGTAAACCTCATCACCTAGATAAGGCAGTTCTTTCCCATCTCAAACCAAGTGCCGTTTTCACTGGATCCTCGCTGCAGTCTCAAGCCATGGAAATGCTTTGCGTGATTAATTTTAGAAATGTTACATTCTCATAAGCTTCTTAAATTTAGAATTGTGTCAGTTGACACTAGTGTTAACATACGAGAAATGTTATTTGCTGCAGTGGGATTAGCAGTGTCACTAGCTGTTGGGGATGCTTCTGTACGCGTGGATATTATAGGTATCCACGGTATAAGGTAAACTCCAAGCTGAAGGGGTGTCGGGTTTCTAGATTCTACGATATATGTTATTTCCTTCCTAAGTGTTTTTATTGCAGCAATGTCAATTTTCTGTTTCTTATTTTTTCATATAGAATCATTTGCTTTGGTTACTCTTATTAAAGTGGAAAATATTTTGCTACTTATTGTTTTAATAGAAAATTATCAAGGAAACTTGATGTTAATGCCTAAGCAATGCCCTATTGAATGTTTTCTATTATCACATTTTCTGTTTTTACTGTGACTTTTAAACCTTTTTTTCCCCCATTATACATTTTTTCAGGCTGGATGAAGCAGCAGTGAATGTGGAGGAGGGCAGGAGCATGCAGCACCACATGCCATGGGATATGGAGAGTGTGCGGCATGCGCTGGTGGTAACACAGCTGTGACGGCTCACGTCTCCCCTGCCATTTCCCTGGCTGGTACTGCATGTTGTGCCACGTGATCTCAAAGCTGTCTAATTCCCTCGTGATCACCATGTGTCTTTCTGCTCCCTTTGATCCATCAATGCAATGGACCTTTCTGTGACTTTGCCTCTCTCTGTTTATGAGTGCTTCTTCAAACAGTCATTAAGAGCACTGAAATATCCTACTTGAAGTATCTCCCCAGGCAAATTTCTCTAACAGATAACCAAAATTAATTACCTATACAATTATGACATTGATACTAATGGGAAAGCTTATGTTTTAAGCTTGCAAAACAGCAACCTGTAGATCTACAGCTGTAGATCTCTATAAAACAATTTATACATCTATTATGTGCATTACCTGTTTAGTCTTCCAGTAATGTATGGCCTTTTTTCCCCCTCTGTTTAAAAAGAATCTTTAAAAATCCTGTTTCCTAGTCCCGTGAGTGTTTTATTATCATTGTAGCAATGTATTTAAAATTATAGTCTAAAATATTTCAGTGAAGGAACGCTTAAATAACATGATAATGGATAATAAAATACTATTTAAATGAAAACATTTTTCTGTGTACTTTTAAGATTAGTGTGCAGAACTACTTCTTTATCATAATGCCTTAGCTGCGTATCTATTTCTTACTTATGTTAAAGAACATTGGTTACTCGCTCTCTCTGTACTGTGAAGTGCAACAGAACCTTCCTGATGAATTGCATCTATTTACTTTTGTACACTGAACGTAAAATGTTGTTTCAATGTGAATATACCTGAAAACTTAACGTAATTATATGTATGTACGTACTGAAGGTGCACTGTCTAGTTATCATTAAAATCAGCAAAGGTAATCATCAGTTTGCTTATAACCACATTGTTTCAGAACACTGCACCACCATGTCTGTCACCAGGTAATGCACGCGGCAAATTCTGACACTAGAAAAAGAAAGAAAAAGTAAGCAAAATTATTTGCTCTTGGTTGAAAGCATCCTATATCACACCTATTTGCAGTCAGTACACTTACCTGCTCGTCTATATTCATTTGAACGGAAAGTCTAAAAGTATATCATTACTAGATGCAACAAAGATTCATTATACACAGGAAGCAAAATGCTTTGTCAAAGCTTCTCCTGCATCATTCAGATCCTGATTTTTTTAACTCTGTAGTAAGTGTAACAGGCAGATTTGGCTGCTCTTAAGTTATCTGGACTGAAATTTTAATGGTTCACATTCTAGTTGATCTTTTCCTCTTCGATTTTCTAAGAAAAATGTATGACTGGCCAGGCTCAGATTTATCAACTTTGCCTGAGAACTGAACTTGACTGAAAAGAACAAAAAATTAATTTCAAGCAACTTGAAATAAAACACTGTTTCCTGCTGTGCAGCCAGAACCTCTGGGTGCTACCCCTCTTCTTTTGCTCTGTGGTCAGTTAAATGCACCTGGAGAACGGATGAGAGGGTCGGGAATCCTGGGGCAGTCTCACCTAAAGAAAGTCACGTAATTCTCCAGTCTGTAAGAATCTGCAGTGTTTTACACCTCTAGGAATTCTTTGTGGGTTCAGTCCTCCTGACCCTGCCTAGTGCCTTTTGAGGTGCCCTGGAGCATCCTGTTGGGCCTTCAGCTGCTTTTCCAGGATGACACTGGTCTTCTGTGCGCCTTGCGTCACACCAACCAACCCCCTGCGGATGCCTGGGATTCCTTAGGGCACCCCGAATAGCGCAAGACCTCTACGTGTGGACAAGTGAATTCAACTTTAAACGTCTATTAATAGCCAGCGGTGGTCGAAGTAATCAGGCAGTGGAAGCTAGAAATGGTTGAGCTCACCCCGAAGAAGACACCTAGTGGCTACTGCGCTGCATTGCGCTTCAGGCTTCATTAACTGCATCTACTGGGGATGGGATTGAGCTGCCTGAGCTTCTAGTGCCACTTGAGATGTCCTTGCACATCCCGCCTGGCCTCCAGCTCATGGTGCAGAAGGGCGTGGGTTTTCCACAGGTCTCGTGTCAGCCCCATCTAGGTGTCCTGGATAACATACGGCATCTCAAACGCCACCAGACAACCTACATTCAAGCAAGTGAAGCCGTAGCTCTCTGAAAGGGGAGCTTAGACGTCTAGCACCCACGTAGACACTATATTTAGGTGTGTTAATCTCCCATGAATCTCGGCTATAATGCCCTCTAATATGAACTAGAATAGAGTCCTTTCTAGTCATGATATTGGTATCATCATTGCTGAAACACATCATCCAGTGAATACCATACGTAAGACTTACTTGAAACAGCTTCAGTTTGCATCTTGTACTGGGCTTACGTACTGTTGTGGTAAGTATTTGGTTTTCATTGCTTCTCGAGGATCCTTGTCGTTGCTCTTGTAACTTAAATTTGTAACGGTCTGACTTCTGCATGTCCGTACTTGTTTAAGCGGTGATGCTACGAAGCAATGACAATGTGTCTTTTTACATTTGCTGGCAAGGTTCTGATCAACCAAATCCTGGATCCATTGTTTTCCATAGATAAGGGACACGGGTTTGCTGTAGGGTGAGAACATTAACCTCCTCCACCAAGCCTGGAAAAGCAGCCCCCGCCTTCCTGACGCCACCTTAAGGCTGCCCGGAACGGCACCACCGCCGTTTGGGTGCTGCAAGATGGGGTCTCGCCTAGCAAGGAGCGCGGCAGGCTGAGCGGGGCACACGGCCGCCCCCGGTACCCCCCGCCTCCACAGATTTCAACGCCTGGCAGCCTCTTGCACAGGCGCTTTTTGAACGATAGAGGTGAACGCCGGGGGAAACGCGTAGCAGCTAAGCTGTTTCGCTAGGAGCAGCGGCGCTGGCAAAGCTTGCTTTCTCACGGATTTGCTTCCTTCCCTGCGAGAAGGAGGGGGCGAGAGCCATCGTCACCCGGGCTGTCCCCAGCCACCGCGTACGAGCGGAGCGGAGCGCGGCCCGGAGCGCGGCCCG